TTTTTCCTAGCCAAATACGACCCCCCCTATTGGGGATTCCCCAACAGCGATAGCCCTGTAATTCGGTGAAACATCTGATGAGCGTTTTTCCCAGCAAACCCTCCATGTAAACGCAAACCCAGTGCAATAAGCATTTCTCCAAACAATGTGAACAACAATACTCAAAGCTGATGTCACATTCTGTCTGCACCCTTGAAGGCAAAGGCGTACACTCGTACACTCGTTCTTGATTGCAGCGATATTAAGGGCCCCAATTCGGGCGTTTTAAGCCGCTTCGTCCCGTTCTTGCTGTCGTACCACAGAGTGATTCTGCTTCCGTTTTCTGCAGAGAACCAAATTATTGTGCCTACTGCACCTCATCAACTGGTAACAATTATCTAAAATACCACCACTCAACTATGTTCTATGCCTATGCCTTTCGCTCCATATAAACAGCGTATTGTTCTCGCGCTGGGTGGCGGCGGGGTAAATCCATCCACCGTGATGCCAGTCTAATTAGGCATCCTTTAATAAGTACCGCGCCGAGCGGTGTTCAGAGTCCCATATATCCATGTGCGACATCTAATTGTGTGAAATTAGCAACGGCACGCCAACACCCAAGTGGATCCTTTCGTCAAGGGGGTCGACAATATGGACATGGGAACCACTGGTGTCTCGACGTGGCAACTTGAATTCAGTCGGGCTATAAAAGAGGGGTAGGAAATAGGAAGACCCTGAAAGTCTGCTCATAACTGCAAACCTAATGGGAACTTTACTATGAAAGAGTTCCTTCTTTTGAAGTGTCAGTTAAGCGCTTGAATGGGAAATGGGTTCGGGAAAGAAGGAATGGAGACGAGGGGTTCCAGCGAGCGTTGAAATGCAGAAGAAATTGAAGGAAGATGGATCTTCTTCATGATTTGATGTATATCTAAATGTAGAAGAAGACACAACCCGGGTAGATCGCCCACGGAATCAGATTATTAGGAAGATACCGCACCCATACTCATATTGAGGTGAAGCGAATTTCGCACTCTGAAATTTGATGCCACAAATAACCTGTTGCCGCTCAGGACAGCATTGCCATCGGGGGAAAATTTTACGACCCCCTCCCTTGAAATTTCTCCCCTGTAACAAATCCCTCCCCCACCTACTATCCTACCGACCATCTTTTTAAATTTTCACAACATCCAACAACCACTTTTTCGGAGTTTCCCAGAAATTACTCCAGTTTCTCCCCAAAAGCTAGCGTCGAGGTGGAGGGAGGGAGGGGTAAGGGATACATAGCGCACTTAAAACAAGAATAAACCGAGAAAAGCCAACAGTCAAAACACTTTTCTCAAAGGCAAATACGACCCCATCGCTGGGAATTTCCAACGCAGGACGTTCCTCGTGGCGCCTGCGTACTCTTCGTATCCCTGGAACGGAGTAGGCGTGGCATTCGAACATGGCACAGAATGGGCTATTCGTGGATATTTAGTCTGAGACAACTGTCATCTTGTTCTATGTTGGACAGAGACACGACCACAATTAGGTCAGTGAAAATATCTGTCCAAAAGCACAGCCATCGCAACTACGCAGCCACGCCTACCACATCTTAAAGATTTCGAGTATACAAATAGATTATAGCATAGCAGTAACAGGAAGATAGCACTCTATTGGCAACGTGACGACAAGCCTCCTTTCTCGCTTTTGGTGATGCGTCAGGCCATGCCCATAATTATGCAATGCGAAATTTTCCAAATTTAAATTGTGTTAAACGGTCCTAATTTAGAGCGTGTCGTCACTGAACGAAAATGTGGTGGAGTAGAAGATGTTACGGGATGAACATTGAACAACTCGAAGATCAGTCGCAAGGTGAGTCATTACCATCTAATCAACGTACTGAGGAAGTTTCTTCCCTTTCTATTCCCACAGGATTACCACAATG